GAGTGGGTCAAAGACGTCAAGGACACAGTAGACGGCGGGGATCTATTTCAAGAGCATTGGCCTTGTCCTCACCAGCTGGCCGCGCCTCGATCATGGGCTAGGGAGGCAGGTTGCACATCGTTTTGGGCTGCGGTCATCAATCAGATTTTGTTCATCTCAGGGTATGGACACACGACTCTGGGCTTGGCTGGGGCAAACATTGATTTCCTAGACCATGCCAGTGAGGTGGCAGCGTCGGCAGGGATCCCTTTCATCATCGGAGGCGATTGGGACATTGATGGCGGGTCTCTGCGACAGGCCCAGTGTATAGACCATATGGGGGCGTGCATTTTGCGGCCTACAGGGCCGGCGTGCCGAGTCAACTGCTACGACTTTGTTTGTGCTCTGCAAATGCTTGTCGTTTCATGTCTGCAGCGGCGACGGGCTCGTCGACGCGCCCGTGGACCTACAATGTGCAGTGGCTTCTGCGTTCCATCACCTGGCTGGCCAGGCCAGGGCGTGGAAGCGAGTGGTGCCTCGAGCGTTTCCGCTGCGCAGATCCAGGGGGAGAGGGGAACTATGTTTTTTCCCCAGCCATCCTGTCCTCGTTTTGAAGAGACAGCGCCCCGCGTCCAATCCACTCACTCCTCCTACCCCTCCTCCCCCTCCCCCTCCTCCCTCATCCCCCTCCTCCCTCCCCCGTGCGTGCCACATGCGTCCGCCGCACCCGGTACCGCGCTTCGTGGCCCCATAGGGAGCCCCATGTAAGGCCCCAGAGGGGGGGGCGCCACATGCGTCCGCCACACCCAGAGCGGCGTTTCGTGGCCCCATAGGGAGCTCCACCGAAGTCCCCAAAATGGGGGGTACCACATGCGTCCGCCACACCCAGTACGGCGTTTCGTGGCCGCAGAAAGGAGCTCCACCTAAGGCCCCAGAAAGGGGGGGGGGGTACCACATGCGTCCGCCACACCCTGTATGGCGTTTCGTGGCCCCATAAGGAGCTCCACGTAAGGCCCCATGAAGAGGGGGGGGGGGCACCACGTGCGTCCGCCACACCCAGTACCGCGTTTCGTGGCCCCAAACGGAGCTCCACCTAAGGCTCCAGAGCGGGGGGGGGCCACATGCGTCCGCCACACCCAGTGCAGCGTTTCGTGGTCCCATTGGGAGCTCCACCAAAAGCGCCAAAATGGGGGGTACCACATGCGTCCGCCACACCCAGTACGGCGTTTCGTGGCCTCATAGGGAGCTCCACGTAAGGCCCCATGGGGGGGGGTGTACCACAAGCGTCCGCCACACCCAGTACGGCGTTTCGTGGCCCCACAGCGAGCTCCACGTAAGGCCCCAGAGGGAGGGTACCACATGCGTCCGCCACACTCAGTACAGCGTTTCGTGGCCCCATGGGGAACTCTACCTAAGGCTCCAGAAGGGGAGGGGGGGTACCACATGCGTCCGCCACACCCAGTACGGCGTTTCGTGGTCAGTGGGACCGTCCACATGCGCCCTGCGCACCCAATTTGGCATTTTCGCCGACCCAGTACAGTTTTTCATTGCTCTATACGGAGCTCCACCGAAGTCCCCAGGTGGACTGCCCGCACGCGTCCCGCACACCCACTGTGGCAGTTTCACCCACCCAGTACAGCGTTTCGTGGCCCTATAGGAAGCTCCACCGAACCCCCCAGTGGGACCGTCCGCATGCGTCCCGCGCACCCAATTTGGCATTTTCATTCACCCCAAGTAGCGTTTGGTGGCCGCATTAGGAGCTTCACCGAAGCCCCCAATGGGACCGCCCTCGTGCGTCCCGGCAACCCAGTTTGGCATTCCCACATACCTAATACAGCGTTTCGTGGCCCCATAGGGAGCTCCACCGAAGCCTCCAGTTGGACCGTCCGCATGCGTCCCGGAAGCCCACTGTGGCATTTTCACCCACCCAGTTCAGCGTTTCGTGGCCCCATACGGAGGTTTACCGAACCCCCCAGTGGGACCGTCCGCATGCGTCCCACACACCGAATTTGGCATTTTCGCCCACCCAATACAGCATTTCGTGACCCTTTAAGGAGCTCCACCGACTGCCCCAGTGCTACCGCCTGCATGCGTTCCCCCGCACCCAGTGCAGCGCTTCGTGGCCCCATAGGGAGCTTCACCGAAGAAGATATTCAAAATTGCGGTACCCACAACTGCAAATGGTTGGGTCCGTCGCCAGGATAATTTTCTAGCTCACGGGGTGGCCGTGGCTTTTCGGGCTTAGATCACTGGGAGGTGGCATCCAGGTGGATCGAGGCTGCTGAGAAGGCCTTTTTTGGTGAGGTGCATGACGTCCAGGACCCCAAGTGTTTTGGTAGGGTCAGGGGTTGCCAGTTGCAGCTTGTGCCGCTCCAGGCTGCCTGGGGCCGAAGGGTACATCAGCATTCGAATTTATACATTCACAGGTGGCTTTTGCTCTGCCGCCTAGCCATCCAGTTTCTGAAAGGGGAGGATTTGCCTCCGTGTAGCTGGGCTGTCGAGGGCTCGCTCGGTCCGATCTCGGTTGAAATGGTGCTCGGGGTAGCGTCCACGTTCAGCCCCTCAACGAGCTTGGGCTGGGATGAATTCAGCCCGCGTTCGCTGCTCCAGCTGCCCCTCCCGCTGGTCGAGGCGTTTGCTGAGATCTTGTCGGCGTGGGGGAGACGGCCGAGCATTGGGGCCATGTGGCTGATGTTGGTGGTCTTTTTCGACAAGCCATCAGGGGGTGTTCGCCCCGTAGGGCTGCTTCCTCTGTTTGCCCGAGTTTGGAGCAGAATCCGTCGCAGGCTGTGCTCTCGATGGGAGCGGGTGGTTGACTCGCAGTTTTTTCGGGGGATGAGTTCCAGTGCAGCCTGTGATGAGAATGCATGAGTCCACAACGCGTTGGCAGCGTTCGCTCGAGTGACCCTAGGATTGGAAATTGCAGCCCTTTTTCTTGATCTCAGGAAGTTTCATGAGCACATCTCACATAGGGACTTGCTCGAGTCGGCTCGACACGCTGATTTCACTTTGCCCTTGCTCCGTGCGTACTGTACATTGTATCGAGCGCCTCGTAGAGTGACGTGGCAAGGGGCGACCAGTCGCACCTTCTATCCGAATCGGGCCGTTAGAGCAGCGTGTTTGGAGGGACCACGCTGGCGCGGCTCCTCCTTTTTGCGAGCCAGCGGCGCGCAGCGACGCCCAGCCCAACTGTATGGGTCAAGAGTGTGATCGATGATGTTTCGATGCGTGCCGTCGGTGGGGTGCGAGCCGTCCGCGGGGGGATCAGTCGGGCAGCTCAGTCTCTAGTTTCGGATTTGACTGCCATGGATTTGCCCATGGCCTGGAATCCAGCTGGCCTTTTAGCTTCTTCGAAGGAGATGGCGGACAGTCAGACAGTTCGATCGGTCAAAAGCATGCTGGCGCAGTCTAGGCAACTGGTCAAGTTTGCGGCTCGGGCCGAGGTTTTTTATTCGGAGGAGGAGCGTTTGGCGAACCTAAGGGCCCAGGTGCTCACTCCGGTGTCTCTCGAGGGGGATCGCGTTTTTGACGGGCGTTTTGGGGTGTTGCGGAGGGGGGAGGGGGGGTGCTGCTGCTGTTGCCTCGCCTCCCACGCCCTGAGCCCTCCGAGGCCCTCAGTCCCGAGCTCTCGAGGCTTGCGGAGGATTCCCCCCAGAGGCCCTGGGGGCGAGGGGTCTTTGTGCTGCGTGAGTTCCCCTCGGTCTTGGAGGGCCGAGCCCCGTTGTGGGTCTGCTCCTCTTGTGGGGGTTCTGCGACGGTCGCTGCGGGGGCCCGAGGCCTCAGGGCCAGCTGCTCGGGGGCCCAGGCCGCGCCGCTCGATCCTGGGCGGAAGAGTGAGCGGGCCTTGTATATAATCAGCTCCTGCCTTGCCCGCTGGGCGCCGTTTGTGCCCAGCCGACCGTCTCCAGGCGTTCGGAGTGAAAGAAGCGGAGGCGGATAGCCTCGCGGACAAGCTTCTTTTGTTTGCGTCTGTCTGCCCAGGCGTCCGCCACAGCCGGCGCCTGCCCTCAGCAGCAGCATAATCGTGGCGAGGCCCGAGCTCGGAGTCGGGTATATCATCGCTGTCCGCTCGCATCTCTTGCTCCTCAAAAAAAAGCCTGGCTGACAAGCTTCATGTCAAAATTAGGGGCGGGCCCCTCGAAGAGGACGACGGCGAGGTTTTTCCCAGGGGGGGGGGCCCCGTCGCGGGCCTTAGGAGCGCTGCCTGTGCCGAGCCGCGCCGGGGTGACAAAAAGGCTCTCTCGGATGGGCCCCCCTGGGGTTTTGGCCTGAACCGTCGGGACTCTCTCTCTCTCTCTCTCTTTCTCTCTTTCTCTTTCACCATCAGTGGCGTGCCCTCCTCCTCCTCCTCCTCCTCCTCCTCGTCCTCCTCCTCCTCGTCCTCCTCCGTTTCCTCCCCCTCCTTCTCCTCCTCTTCCTCCCTCCCTCCTCCTCGTCCTCCTTCTCCTACTATTCTCCTCCTCCTCCCTCCTCCTCCTCCACCTCCTCCTCCTCACTCCACCGCCCCTCCTCCCTTTTCTCCCATCCCACCTTCCTTCCCTTCCCCCTCCTCCCCTCCCCATCCTCCCTACTCTCCCGTCCTACTCCTCCTCCTCCTCCTCCTCCTCCTCCTCCTCCTCCTCCTCCTCCTCCTCCTCCTCCTCCTTCAACTCTCCTCCTCCTCCTCCCTCCTCCCCCCCTCCTCCTCCCCCCTCCTCCTCTCCTCCTCCCCTCCTCCTCCTCCTCCTCCTCCTCCTCCTCCTCCCCCTCCTCCTCCTCCTCCTCCTCCACCTCCTCCCCTCCTCCTCCCCTCCTCTCCTCCCCCCTCCTTCCTCCTCACTCCCCCCTTCCCCCTCCCCCATCCCCCCACCTCTCCCTCGTCCTCCTCCCCTTCCCCACCCACGCCCCCAGGCTGGCCCTGGGCCGAGGGTCGGCGCACGGGCCTGCGTGCCCAAGCCACGAGGGCGCGTGCACCGACCCTGGGCCCGGGCAGGGCCTGGCCAGGACGGGTGCGGGCGTGCAGGTGGTGTCCTCCTAATCAGGTGTCTGCAGACGACGGCCCGCCGCCGTCGCTGGCGTTGCGCCTGCCAGGCTTTTGGGCGCGGCTCCACGCGGAGGGGCTGCAGGACGGCGGCTCGGCGAGCAACCGGATGTGCATGGCAGGCGCTTCGGCAATCTCGCTTCGCACCCTCCCTCCTCGTCCTCCGTTTCTCTCTCCTGCTCCTCGTCTCCTTTCTCCCCCGCTGCTGGTGCTTCGAGTGGTGGAGGCCCGCTTCCTCAGTGGGGGGGCTGGCAGTTCCCATCGTCCGCGTAATGACTTGGGTTTGTATCAGAAAGGACGACGGCTCGGCGAGCATGTTCGTGGAGGGACCAGACGACGCCAGCGACCAGGTGGAGGAGTGGCTCACGGACGTCAACACGAACCTGGCGGACCGCGTGGCGCCCCTCGCCGCGGCGCTGAGCCTCATGGTCAGCACCTTCCCCCCCCGGGCGGGCGGCGGCGGCCACAGCGGGGGAGGGGATGCCAGCGTGGACGATTCCGAGGAGGACCCCGAGCTCGACGCGGAGGAGGAGGAGGCGGATGACGACCTCGAGGCCGCCCGCCTCGGGGTCGACTTCCCCTCCTGGTGCCGCGACTGGGGGCTGCCAGTGGTGGGGCTCGAGGCGCTCCGAGCGCGCTTCCACGCGCCCTGCCGCCCAGAGGGGGAGCAGCCGTCGGCGGAGGCGCCGCTGCTCGCGCAGGCGGCCGCCGCCAGGGCGCCGCTGGCGGCCAGGGGCGTGCGGCTCCGCTGCGAGCCGGAGTTGGGCCTGGTGCAGCTGTCCGCCGGCCCCGTGGCGGGGCTCGGGCTGGGCGAGGCGCTGGCCGTGCAGGTCGGCCTCGACGCGGAGCTGCCGGTGGTGCTGTCGCTGGTGCTCTCGGACAGTGCGCTGGGGTCGTCGGAGGGCACGGACGACACACCTGCACCGATCCTGGCCGTTCCAGGGCCCAGGATCGGTGTTCGTGCCTTCGTGCCCAAGCCAGGAGTGCGTATACACCGACTCTGGGCCCAGGATGGGCCTGATCAGGATCGGTGTAGGCGTATGGTTGGTGCCCTCCCAGGTCGGGGGCGGCCGGGGGCGCTGGCGGTCCAGTGGCGGTGGCATGCTTCACGCAGCCGCCCCGCCAGGGCAGCTCCTTCGCGCTCGGGGACCTCCTGCCGCGCTACGTGGAGGCGTTCTGCCGCCAGCGGTCCCCGCCGCCACGGCAGGAGGCTCCTGCCTGGCTGGAGGGCGATGGGCAAGCCGCTGGCCCCAACTTCTTCCTGGACCTGTGGTGCGGACTCTCGAGTTTTGCGAGGAGGCTGCCTGGCTACTGCCCAGTCTGCCTGGCACCGCACAGCGAGGACAGCACGGCCGAGTGGTGCCGCCCCTGCGCCAAGGAGCTTTGCACCTTCCGCTTCGAGGAGCTCTTCTCGTCGGTGCGCGGGGAGCTCGTGCGCAGCAGGGCTGTGGTGGAGCTGCACATCGCCCTGGCCTCCGCGGCGGCCATGGCCACCGGGGACAGCTTCGAGCCGTTCCCTCCGTGCTTCCTGCGGCACAGGGAGGTCCGAGCCCGCTCCGGCGCCTTCGAGGACGACGGGCAGACCGGGAGCACGCAGAACAAGGACATGCTGTCCCTGCGCAGCGCCCTGTCCCGGGTCCCGGCAGTGGAGCGGCTCGCGCTCCAGGGCTCCGAGGAGGGGGTGCGCGCCCTGCTGAGGGGCGCTGGCACCGCCGAGGACGGCGACACGACGTACAAGCTCCTGCAGTTCGTCCTGGGCAGCTGCCGACTGGTGCTGGAGAAGCTGGAGTCGGAGGAGCACCGCCTGCCCCTGCCCCGCGACGCCAGCGCCGTCATGCAGTTCGCCGTGCTCCATGGGCCACCGGGGCCGGAGGCCGTGCTGCGGGCTCGGAAAGCGGCCCACGGGTCTGGCTTCGCCTTCCACGGCAGCCCGTTGCCCAGCTGGTACTCGATCGTGCGCAATGGCCTCCGAAACCTCAGCGGCACCGAGTTCCAGAACAACGGCGCCGCTTATGGGCCCGGCGTGTACCTCGCGGATCAGCTGGACGTGTCCGAGTTCTACTGCAACGGCTTCTCGGGCCACGGTTACTTCCCGTGCAGCTTCGGCGAGAAGGTGCAGGTCGTCGGTGTGTTCGAGTACGTGAAAGACCCGTCCTGCTGGAGGCAGAACCGCTGGCAGCGCGGGGGCATCACGGTCGTCTCAGACCCTTCGGCGCTGATGCTCCGCTACATCCTGGTGCGCACGCGCACTGACGAGCCCACCCCCGTAGACATCTGAGCGGGCGGAAGGCGACATAAGACAAACGCTTCCGTCATCGGGGACGTCTGTGCCAGGGCGGCTGAACAGCTCCTACCCCTACCGTGGCACGTCAGGGTATAGATTCTTGACGCTTCGCGCATCCCCACCTGTCAATCCAGCAACGGTGCCCAGGCGAGTTGCCTTGATCAGGGAAGTGGGATAGCATGCAATGCAACGAAATATTAAGGAAATCGTGCCTCTCGGGGGCGGTCTGGGGAGGCCCAGAGGCCACTTGGGGCTGTGTTGGGGCCGTCTTGAGGCCTCTTGGAGGCATGGTGGAGGCCACCTTCAACCAACTTGGGCCATCTTTGGGCCGTCTTGGAGGAGATCGATCAAAGAAGGGAGGGTCCGAACATCGCGTCGCCCCTCAAGAGCCCCTAAACTCACCTCTCGGACCCTTCTTGGAGCGCTCTTGGGGCGCTCTTGGGCGCTCTTGGAGCCTTCTTGGGGCTCTCTTTAGGCTCTCTCAGGGCTCTCGAGGGTCCCCTTGGAACCAACTCACAGAAAGCGATAAGGCGAGAAAGCAGAGCACATGAATTACCATAGGCTTCTGAAGGATATGAGAAGATTGGGGGCCGCATGGGGAGGCTTCGTTGCCACTTGGATCCGTCTTGGGGCGTTCTCGGGGCCTCTTGGAGCATGTTGGAAAGCCATCTTGAGCCAGCTTGGGCTATCTTGAGCCATCTGGGAGATTATCTTGGGCTCTCTGAGGCCCTGTTGGAGCCATTTTGAGCCATCTTGGGCGCTCCATGTTCACTCTGTCTGGCAAGACCTTAATTGTGCTGTTTGCACAGCGTGCTTTTCCGGGGGTGTCCCTCTTTGGTCTCCGCTCAACCTGACTGAGCCCGGCAGCCTCTCCGCAGGCTCCAGTTTAGCTGGCCTACTCTTAAGTCGGACAGGTCCCTCTACAGGAGGAACTCTCAAGACTGGTGGCGTTTTTTTTTTTTTTTGTGTGTTTTTTTGTGTGTGTTTTTTGTGTGTTTTTTTGTTGTTGTTTTTTGGTTTATTGGCATACTTTAACGAACATATGGGCTATTTTCTATTTTCTTCCAAGCGCCGCCCGTAGGAGGACATGCCCGACGTAAGCCTCCTCTCCTGCGCATGCTGTCCGGCAGGCCCTGGCTCCGGGCGGCCCGTGGCATACCTGCTGCGCCTGGGCTGCCGTCCGGCTCGGCTTCCGCCCTTTCCCCCGGGGCCCCGCCAGGCGGCGCACGGCGATGCGAACGTGCCTCGCTGCCCGCCTGCCACGCTTAGGTCGGGCATGTCCTCCTGCAGGGGGATTCTGCACGAGGGGGCAAACGTAGCCCGAGCCTTTCCAGACATGGCCAACACATGCCAGCAGCATCGCCCCCGGATTATTTTTGGGGCCACTTTTGGACGTTCCTCCTGCAGGGGGACGTGCCCGACTTGAGGGTAACTCTGACGGCGCGGTGTCCTCCTGCAGGGGGATTTTGCACGAGAGGGCAAACGTAGCCCGAGCCTTTCCAGACATGGTCAACAAATACCAGCAACATCGCCCCCGGATATTTTTTGGGGGCCACTTGTGGACCCAGAAGAAATACCAGAACATCGCGCAGCTTCTCATGCCTGCACAGGCGTTCCGTTCCGTTCCGTTCCGTTCCTCCTGTAGGGGGCACGTGCCCGACTTGAGGCTAACTCTGACGGCGCGGTCCTCCCGCTGCGGTGCACCCGCCGCGCACCCTCCGCGGTGCCCGAGGCCGCCTGCGCGCCGCCTCCACCTGCCGAGCCTCGGCGGCCGGGAGGCGGGGGAGGAGGGGGAGGAGGAGGAGGCGGAGGAGGAGGAGGAGGAGGA